TTATTGGAGGTGGGTGTGTTAATCTAAATAATTACCTTTAATTTAATAATAATAATTTAACGATAATTAAAGTGAGAGGAAAGATAACGAAAGTATAACGCGGTTCTTGTTGCGTATCGAAATTAATTTTCATTAAATTTTCAATTATATATAAATATATACATTTCCTGAATGTTTCGGCTCAGTTCGAACCTCGGCGTTGTTGTAAATTCCTCTCACTTAGGCCTCAAGTGAGTGTTTTGGGATTAGCGAAGGTATCATTTACAGCAACACTAAGGATGACTCGAACTAACAATAAGCTGACGTGTTCTGAAAATATATATTTATCGTATTTATTTGTAATCTTTATTTGAATTAATGATTTTGACATGCGACAAGAACCGCGCCATATTCTGTCTTCATTTTAATTATTTACTTTTTTGTTACGTATTTCGTACTTACTTTCTAAATATATTACAAAACATCGTAGAAAATTCACTGTTGCAACGTAAATATATCCTTATTATAATATGAGGTATATGTGTAGTTAATCCTTAAATATAAATACATATTATACTTTTTGTTTTGTACGAAAAGGTAGCTTTACATTATACATATTTTTCATAATTACAAATCAAATTAATATTTTGTATGTGATTATCGTTTGATGAAAATAGTGAGATAACGAGCTAATGTTTCTTTTTAATTCGCCATTGCGATGTGCATAGGACTTTATCCGATTTGTTTACGTATTTTGAAGGCGCATCGTGTGGCACATCTCATATATGTGTAATAAATATTATACTATGAGAAATAAATTATTAATAAATAATTACATCTTTAATGCGTTATAAAACGCTACTATATGTCCTTTAGAAAAGGAACTGTGTTCTTTATACTTTGCAAACTTATAATATTTAATTATTATAAGTTAAGAAACTTCCTTTGGTATACCCGTACATGCTTAATTTACAATGAAATATGTAACAAAGTTGATCGCTGTGCCACAGCGTAAAAGATCTATTTCGTTGAATTGATATTTCAATCCTAAATTTTCGCATGGATATAAGTGCTTCCAATAAATAGCGTCCGCATAGTGAGAAGTATGGCCATCGCAAATATTAATATCTACAGCCACAAAAAGTTAGATATTAATAATTATCTAAAAATTAATGGACACGAGAAGACAGAGATTATATAAAAAATCATACAAGTAATCTGGCCTCTATCCAAGACTATTACATTTTGTTATCACCCTTTTTTCGTTCATGGCTTTTCAATAAAAATCCGATCGGAATATGTGCAATTTATATGAGTTTTAACCCTTATAGTAATACTGGTCTTCATACGCGGGACCACTTGCCGGCTCCCAACTTTGGTACATATGCGGATGCATATGATGAGGAAAAGCGCTGTGAAGGTGCACGTGAACTGGTTGCGGTGATGACCATGGTTGCGTTGTGTGCCAGCCGGAATGGAGTTTCGCCAGAAAAGTGCTCAACTTAAATACCAGCAATATAATACCTGTAATTAGTGAAACGCAAAGATTACAGTTCCTGTTCCGTGTGTTAAAGTAAGCCATAAATTTTACGGATTGGAGAATCTTGTAAAACTTCCAACAATACATTTACGGATGAATAAATAAGTAAACCGGTTATCGAGAAACGAAAATTTTACAATTGCAATCGTTAGTGGAAGTTTCATTATAATTCACGACGGTGAATTATAAATTTAAGTAATTTTCCGATTAAGAAGGAATATAAATGAGAAATTATTTAAGTTAAATGAATTTTAAATACTTCTACGAAAGACAAGACTAAGAAAGACTGACTGTGAGATAAGTAAAACGTGTGAATCTAACGTTCACCTGAATACTGAACTCACGTGTTGTAAATAGGTCATCTAATCATGTATGCGGGTTACGGTGTCCGAAGGCAGCCGTACAAGACAGCCAAGAGACCGTTATACATTTGTGCGAATGACACTTTTCACTGCGTACGAAAGTAACGATACTTACCTACAAGAAGTCCCTTCGCTGTGATTGCTGTTATTATCATCAGCATTGTCGTCATCACTCCCATTTTGTACATCATCGGCATTAGCATGAACTGAATTCTTTTGTGTCCAAAAGTGCGAGGCTTTTCAAGTCCAATTTCTGCAAAAATATGTTAATATAATTAACGTTGTTAAATGCAATCTTTACGGACGCATATTGTTTCTCACAATTATACATAATCGCTTCAATAAAAAAAATTTAGTGTTTAAATCTATAATTCTAGTGTCACGAAATGGCTCTCCTGACAGTTCCAGTTTTCTAATAGCTCCTAAACGCTGCGTTTTGTTAAATGTGGGAGTGAAATTATGTTCCACACCTTGATCTAGTTCGCTTCTGAGCGCGTTAACCGGGATACGAAGACCTCCGACGTCGGAATCCTGCGACGCTGTCTCCGGGGCTAACTCCAGTTTCGTAGCATTGCATCGTGCGACTTTGTAGCTGTCCCTCGAAAATTTGACGTTCGCGGCACTCGTTGCAAGCACATTTTTCGTAAATGCAGCTGCCAATAGTACGTACGCCAGGATCCGGCCAATCGCCTCCATTCTCAGACCGGTTTACCACCACCCGGACTCATCGACACTGACGATCCTTTTTCTTTCGACCGACCTTTTTCCCTCTGTCTTCTCCTGAACCTCCTGCGTTGGACTACACGAAATACGTGTTATTCGGACCCGCACGAGCCACCGTATGATTCCCTCCAACCAGCCAAGCGGTTCGAACTCCAAAGAGAATCGCCCGCTCGCTGCGCGCCGACCTTCTGCGCACCTCTTTCGGATTCCTCCTCGGTACCGATTTTACAAATACCGTGGAGAATCTGGTGAACGCCCGCATTCTAATGCTAGAAAGCATTCTTCTGATATACCGCATTTCTTGTAATAAAATTACACGGTAAAGTCTCATAGATTCGCCCATTCACAACTCAACTGCTACTTGCGAGAAAATTGCATTGCTCATTGAAAATTTTACTAATAACTAATACTGTTAAAATTATGTAAAATATATGTAAAATCCCTTCTAATGTAGAATTTACTCTCATTTTTAACAAACCCTTTATTTAAACGAGGTTACACTTTGCTAAGAGAAAAATAATTGAAGAAATGACACATACTTGCCGTCTTTCACTTTTTACGTCACGTCACTGTCACGGTCGTCGTACAACGACCGTTCACGCGTGGCCATCACCTTGAAAAGGAGTGGCTGAACCAAGAGTAGTTGGAACGCATTGCTTCACAATTTTCCGATGAAATTCCCCGCACCACGTACACACGCGCGCACACTTGTGCGATCTTCATTCAGGAAAGATTTTACGAGTTTGAAAGACCATTTGCGAGTAGCAGGCACATTTTTTTCAACTAGTTCTCCTGTTACTGCTCATTCTTCTAAATACTGCCGCGTCAATCTCCCAGACGCGCGACATCAGCAGCCACTTATATGTGCAACGTTGCTGCAAATAGTCGTCTTTAACGAATGATGCGCGACGCTTCCAACTAACTTAAGAACTGCTGGTTGACCTCATAACGAGACATTACAAGGAACATTATGCGTCATAAAGCTCATTAACGGTCTGGCGTAAGTAAGTAGCTCAAAGAAAAGTCATGGTTACTGATCGACGTGGTTTACCTCGATACGCTTTATTATAAAGCCGACGGAGATTACTTACACAGGTAGTCACGTTATTGAAGTGTAATCTTTGAATGAGGTAAAAATATAAGGTACAAAACGTTGCCCGAAATTACTATTAAAAAATTACGGTTTTTTTACTAGCCATTTCTCCTTTTTGTATCCGTTTCTTACAGCATGGAAAAAATGCGCTAATGTTTTGGAGATCAAAGCGAAGCGATTGAAACAATACGGGAATGTCGAAAATTGTTAACGAAAATGGGATCGTATGAAGAGATGTTGAAGTAGTAAAATCGGATTGAACGTTGTGAACGCACCGTAAGCAAGGCAGACAGTAAAGAAAGGCAATACAGGTTTATTGCATCGTCTTTGCGCAGTGAATCCAGCACGGAAGGAGCGAAGAGAGGGAAGAAGTAGGGAGCATCGTGCCGACCATCTTGGAAAATAAAGTTCGCTGTAAAAATGCATTACTCTCCACTCCCCACGCTAAGATGCCCCTTCTTCCTGGCCATTCCTACGAGTCTCGATTCCTTCAAGGACTAAAAATTCAACCCTTTACACCGGCGCGAGCACAGAGCGCGCGCGCGAGCAAGACTATTAAACACGAACGCGAAACCCGATCTGTGATCTTTATTTATGCAACATCGCGTCCGGAGATCTACGGATTACTATTTGCTTCTTTGAATTTTCGATTAAGAAATATGTTTCGCTAGTCATCCATCGCTAATTAATTTGTTTTTGCATCCTAATTATAATTATAAGTTGTCTCCTTTTAAAAACATCTGTGACTTTTATCATCGACGTAATTAAAATATATTCGGACAATATAGCTCACGACAAGATGTTTCCTCGATCATAGGATATTATGTACATAATAGTTTTCTGTTAATAATAAATATGTAATCAGTATCATTTCATTATATATAAAACAAAATATGAGCATTCCATTTCGCGAAAAGAAAAGTATGAGATTCATGGTAAAAAAACATTTAATTACGATTTAGATTTGTACTTTAGCCTCTCGGTATGCCCGATGGCATGTGTACAAGTCGATCTTTGCACTGCAAAAATGTACATGCCGTGCACTTAACTATGTTTATGGCGTTTCTCGGTCTCTTCTTCCAACGTATTGCTCATCGCGCTGAGAGTGCTCGTAAACCATAATTGTCAAACGACGAAGTAAATAAACTTCCTCAGCCTCGCGACGAGTAATCCGTGCCGTAAACACGACGACGCTCGAACGGTGCGACCAATTTGCGCGATTAATTGCGTTAAGGAAATCGCGTGCTGGGATAAATCGAGCGATCGATGCACCTGATGCCATTGCCATTTCCGCGCAGGAAACGCAACCGGTCGGCCACGGCGAACTCGTTGGCTGCGAAGCTTGTTACCCCGCAACCCCGAAGTAGGCGCGTAGAGGGGCACCGCAAAAATGGAAATGCCAGACTGTTATTCATCTACAGGTTTGCTTCTTCGTCCGTGAACTGGCTACAGCCGGCGTGCTTTAGGCGATGGTATGTGTATCACCATGCATGTGGTATGGCTGACCATAGACCGGCTCAGAAGTGGCCGAGACATTCGCCTCTCGACCGCGACCATGAGAGCACTCAACTCTCGGCGCCCACGGTCAACAACGAGCATCCACCGGCTCGCGTCTCTCTGTTTCTTCCTTCTACTTTGCGTCCTTCACGCACGAGCGCGGAGTGTGCCTCACGATGACGACGGTGTCATTGCGGATCAAGTGCACGACAAAATTTCGGAATCGGCAGAGGTGAGCGATTTCAATTCCGACGGCGTATACAAGGAGGATCCGGCACGAAAAAGTTTGGCGGAAGCGAAACACGAAGATGAAGAAGCGGACGGCGATGTTAGTGGCGAAGAAAGAAAGAATCCAACGGAAGAGATTCTCGTCGAGGACCCTGAAAAGATCCAGACCGAGGCTGCCGGCGATGAAGGTAGCGTTGCGAAGAAGAGGCGACGGAACGACGTGAACCTTCCCGGTAAGCCCGTGCTGCAGGATGGCGAGAGTGTCGCGCAGAACGTCGAGGAGAATGCGCAGAAGGACGAAGGTATTCGACGATTTGACGCACAGGTCGAGCCCGACGGTACCGAGAAACTGGACCAACGAAAGGTATCGGACGGTACCGCGGAGGACCCGCAGGGAGATGCTATTGAGATCAACGTCGAGCAACTGCACGCGGATGTGAAAAACGTGGCCGTGACCGGCGACGAAGACAGGGCGGAGTCGGAAGAAGGGCAGCACGCCGACACTTTCTCGAATCTTGAAGAGAATTTGGAGGACGTCGCCAGCTTGAAACAGACAGAGAAGATAGATTTAAATAAGCAGGAAACGGAACAGATTAAGAGTGCGGCGGAACATAATTTAGATGAGGCACAAATAGAGAATACTGAGGATGTGAGTGAGGGTGTACGCAATGAGCTTCGTAGCTTACATCCTGCTCAAGCCGAAGAGACTGAGGGGAATGAAGAACACGCCGTCGATGAGGTTTCGAACAGTGAAGAGATCGGTGACAAAGATGCGGATCTTAACAGAGAGAATAGAGCCAGTGTTCCAGGTAAGTCCAAGTACAAGAGTTCGACTGTTTATCTAAATGCCGAAGAAGGCAATTTACCCGGTCGAGAGCAAGAATCGATTGTGGACGGTCAAATAAAAAAGTTAATATCTATACGAAATGACGCCCTTGAATCCGTCAGTAACGATGCGAAACAGTCGGAAAAATTTGATGAAGAAAGTCTTCTTTCAGAGAAATCGGTTGAGGTTGACGCGGTTGCTGCTGAAAAAGACGAAGAGATTCGTAATCAACGTAGTAGCGACGTGCAAGCGGCATCGAGTCAGAGCGAGAATCTTGAATCATCTTCAACGACGGAAACCGATGTTAATTACTATGAAAAGTGGAAGAGTCAAGCCGCGTTTCTTCAGGATCAAATCAAGAACGAAACGTTTCTTCAGTATTTGAAGGAACAGGCGATCGAGGTGCTCCCCGACATTCCAAAATTTACGGAAAATGATTTGCTGGATATTTTGAAGAATATCGCGCTAACGCGGAAATCACCTACGAACGAAACGTACTGGGCTACCTTGAACACAACTGAATTGACCGAGAACCAATTGGAAATAATTAAGTGCGCCGAGCAATTGGTACAGACGAAGCAGCGGCAGTCATTTATGGAGAACATGGGAGAGTGCATTCGCGGTCTCAGTGTCTTGAATTGCGTGCGCATCTTCGTCTGGCCCATCGTGCTCGACAATCTCCCGGAGTCAGTCAAGGAGTCTCTAAACAATCGAGTACCGATCGAGATAAACTTGATTGACCTGTTTCAGGGTAATAGGGCCAAGTCCGCAAGATCGGGGAGCGTTCACCGTCCGAGGCTGCTGACGCCCGAGTTTATTGTCTTCAACATTCTAAAAGGCGCTCTGGAGTCGAAAGTCACTTACGATTTGGCGCCGTCTTTCATCGATCCGACGAATGAAACCTTGAGGACGTTGCTCACCATCGGCCAACTCCAGATCCTGCAGATGGCCGAGAAACTTCTACCTGGTGAGATACGCCGCGAGTATTCCGACAGGATGTTTTCGTGCGTGCGCAGGTTCGAGTACTTTAGCTGCGTCAAGTACTTCGCCTGGCCGATGGTGAAGCAGTATTACCCGACGCTGCCGGCCTTCCCGGATTATCAGACTTGGTACCCGCCGATCGCCTTGTACCCGCAGTATCCTATCGTTCCTTTTCCCAGTTTCGTGGGGAGCATGGGCGAGCTTCCTGAAGTCATCGATTCCTACGCTACAAGAACGCAGAAGCCTAAGCCGGAAGATGTGATTGTGAACATCCTTCATAATACGTTGAAAGAGCACGCGAAGGTACCACCTCCATCTATCGCTAGTACGGATTCTTACGTCGCTGTACTCCCTCCGGAGCAATTACTGTCGATCCACATGGCTGAACAGCTGCTTCCTATCCCGTATCGTCCAGAATTCGTTCAGAAGACCGTCAAATGCATAGAGGAATTCAATTATGTGACCTGTATTAAGTATTCCACCTGGCCGACGGTCAAGCAATTTAACCCCAGTCTACCGAATATTTCCGACTGGCTACCGGACTGGCAGTTGCCCGACGTCTTCAGTTATTTCCCGCAATTTCAGTTTCCCGATTTTTCTTCGTTTTTACCGTTTTTACCGAGCCAATCAACGACCACAACGACTACACCGACTCCACCGACTACACCGACCACCGAAACACCATCGCAATCCGGTGATTCTGCTACAGAAGGCTCGACTGGTCGGATCCTCACGCTGTTATCTCGTCAAAGTGAAGTTTCTTCCAGAGCATCCAGCGAGTTAGAGAGCAAGATTACAGAGATTTTAACAAAGGTACGTAATACCTTGAAAGCGACGCCGAAAACTTCGCATTTGATCGTCAACGACAACGTGATTGTTCTGACAACCATCACCGAGAAGCAACTTAACATATTGCGATTAGCAGAGAGTATGGTACCACCACCGGCACGGGCGCCTCTCGTCGCTCAAGTTATGTCTTGCCTCCAGGCGAACAACGATTTTCTCAACTGCACCAGGTACGTCATTTGGCCCACGGTCGCTCTTTACGTTCCTAATTTCCCCGCGTTTCCTGATGATTTACCACCTACCCAACAACCACCAAAACAAGAGGATCCAACAACGTTGAAAGACAAGAACGCGTCGGGTCTGGCCAACAAGGACCAGCAGGAGTGGGACAAGTCGCAAACGAATTCCAACGTGAAGATCATCTCCCGGACGAAATTACCGCAGAGCAACAATCCTGTGATTAGCGTTACTGGTACTCGATTCGTGCCAATATTCACGGAACATCCCGAATCGGTGATACTCAACATTCTCAAGGCGATTCAGCTCTCTTCGCCAAACGTGCGGGATGATCAGGGCGCGAAAATCACCAGCACGCAACAGTTCGGCGATTTACTTAACGATCAGCAACTTAATATCCTTCAAATAACAGAGAGCTTGCTACCCGATGCAACTCGTTCTGCTTTCGTCAATCGGATGACAGAATGCGTTCGTAAGAGCAACTTTCTGGGATGCTCGAGAAGTGTGTTGTGGCCGAGTTTGTCAGAATATTTTCCTAGACTGCCCAGTTTTCCAAATTTCGGAGGATATCTTCAAGCGACAAATAGTAACTCCGCGTTAACTCGGAATCTGACTGATCCATCACCGTTTTCGGAGACTGACGTTAGGGTTGGACAGCATGGAGACGCTACTGTTACCATCACGGACACCAGGTTCTATCCCGTCTTTTCGGAACATCCGGAAGGTGTAATTTTAAAAATTCTCAAGGCCGTGCAGCACTCTACGCCGGATGTTCTCACTTCGACGGTTACTTCAAGATCGCAGCAATTCACGAATTATTTCACGGAACAGCAAGGTAATATTGTTCAGGTCGCAGAAAGTCTTTTACCGGAATCAGTAAGACCAATTTTCGTGGAAAAGATGGTAACTTGCGTTCGAGAGAGCCCGTTCCTAGAGTGTACGAGGAATATAGCTTGGCCAACTATTGCCCAGTTCTTCCCGAGGCTGCCAAACTTTCCCAATTTTGGAAGTTACCAAACTCTACCGAGGATGAAACTTGATGTATCATCGATCCTGCTGCATAACACTTATTCCGATAACCAGACATCTAACGAAAAGAGTGAGAATACGCCCAAGATTGATCTAGAAACGGTCGAGGAGAAAATAGAGGGTTCATTGAAGGACCTGCTGAGCAAGAATTCGTCGCCGCGTTTGGAAAATTCCTACTTGGATGTCAACAATCCTGTGATAGGCACTCTTCTAACTGCTCGGGAAATGAACATTGTTAGATTAGCGGAGAGAGCGATACCGGATTCGATACGTCGCGAATATGTAACCAACATGCTGGAATGCGCGAGAAGCAATAATTTCGTTACTTGCGCCCAGTATGTCACTTGGCCGACCTTGAAGCAATTTTCGCCGTCCCTACCGAACTTTGAGGAACTATTTGAACAACTCCCTGGCGCAGGTCAGATTCCTGGCATCAGCCAGATTCCTGGTATCAGCCAGATTCCTGGTATCAGCCAGATTCCTGGTATCAGCCAGATTCCTGGTATTAGCCAGATTCCTGGTATCAGTCAGATTCCTGGTCAAATTCCCGGTATCGGACAGTTTCCTGGCGTAGGTCAGATTCCCGGTATCAGTCAGATTCCTGGAGCGGGTCAAATCCCTGGTATCGGCCAGATTCCTGGAGCAGGTCAAATCCCCGGTATCGGCCAGATTCCTGGAGCAGGTCAAATCCCCGGTATCGGCCAGATTCCTGGCGCAGGACAAATCCCCGGTATCAGCCAGATTCCTGGTGCGGGACAAATCCCCGGTATAGGTGGGCAGATCCCGAGTATTCCCGGATTGGGAAATCCTTTCGCCGACAGACCCGGCCTACCACAGTTTCCTTTCCCGCAAATCCCTACGTTACCAGGCGGAGTTCAAACTGGCATTCCTCAGTTTCCAGGATTGCCTAGCTTTGGCGCCATAAATTACTCGCAATTAGGAGTTTTGTCGGACACGCCGCAGGAGTCGACACCGCAGGAGCTGAAGCCGCAGGATCAATCAAAAGTTGCGGAAGCAGTGGAGCAGGCGAACCAGATAAGTGGAGAATCGAGAGCTTCGAACACTCCGTCAGTAGGTGAATCAATCTTATTCGTTAAACGCAAGCTGACTCTTCTTCGTGACATTCAATTTATTACTCTTCGAATTTCTTTTATATTCCAGGCGAACAAGGAGTCGTCCCCGGATATTTTGGGCAACCGTCAGACATCCTCATAGATATTTCCAAGGAAAAAGTCCATTTGTCTGATCTTGAGCAACGGCGAAGTTCATTGTCGGAATCCGCTCTCTCGGGCGCGTCGTCCAAAAAACACGAAAGGAAACAAAGAAGTACCGATAAATTATTAAGTTCTTACCACGAGACCGAGGGAAAAATTGAACAGACGTCTTCGGAGACGACAATGGACAACGTGTTCCCGAACATCACGGAATCCGAATTTCTTCAGCTTCTAGTTAATATTTCGATTTCCGAGAAAATTTTGGAAAGGAGACCCGAGGAGAATCCAAAGGAATACTTCGTGGATACGTTAAATTATACAGTCAGGAATTCTCTAACCGCCGATCAGTACGAGATCTTGAAGCTGGTGGAGGACTTGAACGAACAAACCGCAAACCGCGGTTTCCTGTCACGGGTAATGCAGTGCATACTCAGCTTGAGCTTCATCAGATGCATGGGCATTTTCGTCTGGCCAGTTATCACTAGTGCCGTACCATCTTTAATCGGTCTACCGTCCTTGCCCGCATTTCCTCTTGGAGGCCTCGGTATTCTCGGAAGATCAACGGAAACTGAAGTACAGCATTTCTTTGGAATGTCCACGAGCGATTTCGAAAAGGAACTGCTGATCAGGAAGGCATCCACGGAAAATATTCTTCTGGATTGGTACAAGATGGCGATGGAGGATAAGTTTCAGGTAGATCTGGGTTTCCTGAAGCTCACGGGCTACGGGAATGGCGAAGTCGGCATTAGCTTCGGCGGATTCCGCGAGGGTAGAGCTACGAAGATCAAAGACAACAAGAACTTGCCGAGTATCCTGACGATCATCAGCGATATCATGGAAGAAGTACTGGACCAGCGGCCGGACAACGAGAAGCTCAAGAAGGAGAAGGAGAAGAAAGAGAGGAGTCTGGATGACGTGCAAGAGGCGAACTTCCAGCTTCTGCAAGAGAGCGACGAGTACGCGGACATTAAGCGGTCCATAAACGACGATCAGATAATTAACATGTTTCTAGATAAAATCAAGGCCAACGCGACGGATTTCGCCGATGGTGATGTCGCTCAGTTTCTCAACGTAGAGAACGCTTACAACGCTTTCAGCGTACTCTTCGGGACCCGTTTGAACGAAAAGTTCGCGAGTAGATTAAAGGTTTTTACCGAGGAATTGAAGAACAACAATCCGGAGAATAATCCAGAGAAGCATATAAAAAATCTCAGCACAGAGGAACTAAAAGTAATACCTCCGAAGGAAGAAATTACTTACGAGTTTGAAAAAGAATCTATAGAAAGTGACGAGGAACGCAAAAGGGAACATCGTGCAAAGAACGAGCTGAGATCTATGCTGAACGAATATTCAGAAATATTAGCAAACCAGGAAGTTTCTACGGAAAAGATTGAGGATTCAGATAACGAAAACAACATCAGGGACACCGAATCGCCCTCCGACAAGAATGTACGCTCAGAATTGAGGATTCAGCTGCCACGTTTGCGAGAGGACTTTATGTCCAGAAAAGTCACGAACGCGGTGATGCATCTCGGAAGAGCATTGAAGATGAAGATGAGCACTTTGATGCCCGGAATCGGTTTCGTAGTATCTTTCCTCATCCAAATGGCCTTGGCTCACGCGAGGGCGGCTGCTTCTATGGCTGGTATGATCAGCAACATGGCCCTCGCATCGGCTGTATTCGGTATGCTCCGACAGAGTCTGTTCGGCTCGGAAAATCCGCAGATCAAATATGTATACGACAATGATAAGACGGGTCCGGGGATTACTTGGCCGCACCACCATAGGTCATATTATCATCACGGAAAATAGTACTTTGATTCGCCCGATCAAGTCTACTTATCGTTCTTGATGTATAGAGGAAAGTCCACTATTATGAGATAGGATTCTAATATGAGGTGGCAGATTTTCGACGTCCAAATTCAATCACAAGTCTTTTTTCGCAACGCTTACACGATCTAATATTTTTCACTAAACAGAATTCACTCCAAGGGCAATAAATTCATGGTGGAACCAACGCGGACGATGCCAATTAATTTAGCAAAAACTCCGCTATCCCATATTGGGAGTCTATCTCATAATAGGGGACTTTCTTTTACTATATTAAAATCTAAAATATTATATGTGCCTTGTTAAGAGATTTATATATGTCTCTGTCGTTACAGACTTTCCTCAAAGTCTGAGACAAATCGGATTATATATTGGGTTAGCTTTAATTTTTTATATTAATATTATTGTGGTCGCGTTCATAAGACAATGTAGTTTGAGACAATTACACCTAGCACTTTTACACCTAATAATTTTGCATAAGAAATTTCATTACTTCCTGAAAAGAGATTAATTGAAAAGTTAGATATCGATAGTTTCTATGGATGCGCCCACATTGTCTTTCGATACATTTTTACTTACATGTTAGCAACACGGGGTTCAAAATAGAGTATATTTTCAAAAGTTAGAATAGATAATATTTAGAATCTGAAGAAACGGTATTCTTGTAGATGGTTATGGAAACAATTCCTCGCAATTTAATCATGCAACACGCGCCATTTCGCAGGAGATATTTATTTCATTGTCATGGGATTTTATGGTGATGGGTGACACTTTCATATTTTCTTGAAGATTATATAACAAGTACGGCATTAAAAATTATATGTCATATAGTCGTATCGCAGGAAGAATATTAAATAAAATTGCTAGCGTAGATTGTAAGACTGACATGCCCTTTAATTATGTCTGATTAAAAATAAATGAATTGTATCTACCTTGTATATTTGGTGGCTGTTGTTCCTTACAAATAATGCTTAATTAATTAATTTCAACAAGTTATTTTATTTTCACAATACGCATTTTAATATTAATACTGTTATAAAGTTTTGCAAAAGAGATTATATGATAAATAATTAATACAACTTTTTTTACATTTAAATTCTTAAAAATTTAATGCATCTATTTATTTGACAGAAAATGAAACGATTAAAAAGTTTGAAAGGAGAATAAGAAATGTTAAGAATTGCGTAAAATTTAAAACGTAAATTCTTTTATAAGTAATTTCAGCATGTCAATTTTTTAGATTTTTTTATCGCTTAGTTCACGAGAACATTTGTAAGCAAGGTACAAGATTTTTCTCCTTACAATTGCTTTAAGAAGTAAATAATAAATATAATAAAATTATGCATGCGTTTACATGGGCAGCAACATCGATATCGAAAATACTGGCCCTACAACTTTCAAGAACCTTGAGAAGCCAACAGTCAGGAATAGACTTGAGATTATTCTGGACTACCATGCTGAAGGTCTTCTCTCTCTTTCTCTCTTTCTCTCCCCCCTCTCATTTTTCTTTTATTTTTCGCCAGTTTTACGCGTTGCATGCGGCAAAAGCGCAAGGATGCAACAAGAGCATAAAAGAGACTGGAGTCAAGATCATGCCACACGCAATCGCTAGAACGTTGAACTACTACAAAAGCAAAATGATATTACCTTAGAATCCTATAAATATTATTTTCCGACGTTTTTCACGACGATCAAATATAAATAATGTATCAATTTTTATTCCACCGATAAACTGGCGTTAGAGAGAAAGAATAAAGCAATTTCTTTCAAAACTGTTGCGTTGGAGAGTAATTAATTGTCCGTAACTTCGCGTCAAGAACCGAAAAATTAAATTTATGAATTCCAATCAAACTCACTTGGCGTGTATAATAGCTTGATTTGCGTATCAGAAATATATAAAACGCACAAATGTATAACGCAATGCAAGATAAGAACTTTGTTTTTTTTAGTCAATCACAAGTGGTAAAACTGAAGGCACAACATCTTCTTGATCTACTTTCGACTCGTCGTACTCAGTAATTTCTTCTGTGATCGTTCTCGATTCGATTTCCGTAGAATAAGATAGTTCATTCAGGTAGTACCTGCAACAAATAATTATACTGTAGAGAAACTTCTGATCTTCGACTGATCTGAATGTCCGTACATACCATTCATGAGCGTGCTGACAATCGGTGTTTTCCTCGTCCGTGCATATCCGCTGTTTCTGATCGAACACTGTATCGTTACCGCAGATCACTGGGAATCCATCCCCTGAATTTTCGCAAACGTGAAATATCCTGCAATTGTAATCCATATCGGCGTAAAAGCCGGACGGCATATCCTTGCAGGAGAAACGAAACGTTAGATTAGCAAATATGTCGATGTCGTTTTGTTCGCTCGATATCTCCTCGTAGGTTTCCAGACGATTTCTATCCTGTGCACAACATAATAATTTGCAATTTTTAACTTGATCGCAAAACACAATGACATATTATTAAAGAATAATTTTCCAAGCAAGTAAAAAAATTATAAAGATTCTTACGAAATAGCCCAAAGTAAATTGATTTGTCATCTTTGTATCTGTATAACAAAAGGTACACGAAATGTAACTTCAAACTTTCAATTATTATCGAAATTGGATATTAGCTAATTTTGAAACTTACTTAATAATAATGAAAAATTGAGCACGTATATTATAAAATAATTCATGTTAATCGCAATTTCTAAAGAAAAAATTTTCCAACTTTTGATGTCAATATTACAGTTCGATATTGATGTTAGTCACTCGATCACTCGATGGATAACGCAACCGACTGCGCGACTACAAGCTCTTTGTCTGAAACTGTAGAACTCGAAGAGCTCAATGACCTTAATAGCCATGTAATTTCTAAAAAGGCTCGTCATTGTTTCTCATTATCGTTTAAATGATGCTTAACTATCGCATCCTGCTTTGTTAAATGATACTTTCAGAGAACCGAGAGAATATTCAAAGAAAAAAAATCCAAGTAATTTTATGAAAATGGAAAGATTGAAGGTAGTATCTTAACAAAATCGTAAAGAGAAAAAGTAATAAGAAACGTAAACCAGTTATTAAAAAAAAGTGTTATTGAATTTTTTTAACATTAAGAAGATATTTTTCTTAAATCTTTCCGTTGGAAATGTTTAAATTAATCCGTGTACCAACAGATGTCGACGTCATACTATGAATCGCGGGACTCAGAGTACCAAGGTAACTACACGACGATACTTTCACTAACGTCAACCAATCCTAAGGTGTTACTCGACGGCTGACTTTCTTCACCTAAGACTTTGCCAGGATCGTATCTATAAGTGAAATTGAATATAATATTATGCATTAAAATAGTGCAATAATATTTATTTATTTATTTGTGTAACGTTTATAATTTGAGGAAACTAAAAATGCAGGTAAAAAAACAGATGAACGACGAAATATATTTAATAGTTTTGTTAATTATTAATAATAATAATTTTTATAATTTTCTACGTTTGTATTTAAAGAAAATTTAAGGTTGGACAAATTGAATTTTATTTCCATTATTCGTTAAAATAACAGAAACTTTTACAATCTTTATTATTGCTTTCTTTGATTGTAATATTAACAAAAAATTTGTCACGTCACTGCAGCTAATTCGCCGCGACCTTCGAAGATACGATAGCGTTTTGTCAAAATGTAATCGTGGCGAATCTCTCCTTCTTTCTCTCGCAGTGGCATAAGGTGGGATGTCCACGAAAGGACAGCGCGTATCAACTGCCAATGAGGGAAGCCTCTACTTCTGAGGCTGCCTTTCTCTTTGCTTCGGTGCCTCGGCTCAGTTTTCACGGCAACTTCACTCAGGAACCACATGCAGAATGTCTTGAAGACACGCGGTAAAACACTCGAAACGTGTAATCCTCTCTGTTCTTCTCTCTTACACTTTCTGCTCCCGCATGGTGGAAGGAAAAGGACAACCCGCAATGTGATCCTGAGGATACCAGCAGTGCATCGAAGAACGTCACAACGACCTTGCTTTTGAGAATTGTCGGGCAAAGTGTAACAAGGTATCGTGACTATTTTTGTGACAAATAATCACACTTTTTCGTTCCTGTTGCCTTAATCTTGAGAAATGTTGAGAAATATAATTTCTTAAAAAGCCTCGCGATTCGTCGATCGATATTGGAATAATCGCAGGTATGATGCTGACGTTTTGTATTACCGATAAAGAATAATGACTCATCAAATAGTTTATTAGGCTTGTTATATTTTAAAACATCAAACGGTGCTAAGTTTCGTAATGTTCGCGGCTGGGTATCCACGTGTGTTTAAGCGCGTCATCTCTCCGTTCAGCGAACGGTGACTACAATGCGCGCATAGAACGTAACGCTTCTATATTATCCGAATTATCTTTGATATCTAACTAGCTCACGAAGTTTCGCACGTTGTTTTTATTTGTTTCATTGCAACAAGATCGCTTTTTAACAATTACTTGAACTTGACGTGTCTTTTCAAATCAAATATGAATCTGAAATAGTAAATTATTTTATTCCAAGTGTTCATTATTCAAATTTTTCATTTCCATTAAATAATCTTAATTTTTAGACTCTATTTTGTAATACTTTTTACCAATAATGTCCTTTATAAGTTATAGAATTTAGTAGAATAATAAGTGTATTCTTAAACTACTTTTAATTATTCCTGTTATAGAAATTACATATTTTTTACTTAGCGGGATGCATAATATTACATATAAAAAAAACTATACAATAAAAGAATGCAGAGGTGTTGCACCGTGCGGTATCCAAGACAAGGACGACCGGTGAAACGAAAATATTCTCACTTGTTATGTTGAAGAAATAGATGGAAAAGTGCATCTCAAATCAACAAGGGAGTTTCTTTTATAATGAGACATAATTTTAGTACTTAGCTGTATATATTATGATGGTAGTGGTGCATTTTTTTTTTACGTAAAGTCGACTGCCTTTGCTACGCTAACACAATAGCTCTAATTGATAGACTTTCAGAAAGTGGAGCGTGGCGCAAGTTCTTTTTTTCTCCGCTGTCGTTCTTTCCGCTTTCGAGAAACGGAAGTCTCACGTTCGGGAAAGCCTACTCTTTATTGATGGCTCTCGTCGAGTTTCTAAATATTTTCGAGTCGACATAAATACAAATAAATAGTAACGTGCAATAGTTTGAGTTCTGATCCAGATTTTCCGGATAGTTCCGTAATAAATAATCAAGTTTCGCCAGTGCGTTACGTCAACCAGCACCAGCGTACATTCATTTTTCTTAGATCCGATACGAGTTTGGAGTCACGAGAGACCAGCATGATTCGGTCCAGTGGCTAGTTCCTTGGTTTACGAGGTATAAAGATCAACTGAAATAAGTGAAAGGCGCGTGTGTTTTTCGCAGCATATCGGTTTGCTTATAAACGCCATCATCTCAGATTCGCAGATTTTACCGACGACAGCTTAACACCTCTACGAGTATAAATCCATAAATATACTTTAACCCGGCATACATCTTGCCTGAGATAAGCACGGCGATTCTCCCTCGTTCATAATGCAGACGCTGTTGTTCTTCTTACATATCGTGCTCGTATTATATTCGCTTACACATCCGCTCGTATATTATATTCGTGTTGTATACTGATGCCTGAACTAGATCACCGTGCCTTTCTTCTTGCCTGCTTGAATTACTAGGGCTGTAATAAAGCATAGTTTTCCATTTCTCAGATCGGTGGGTCCCACGATTACTTTAATTATGCGCTACCGTTAATTGCGGGAGCTTCGACGATCTCGACTAGTAGATGGATATCGAAAGTATAAATTGACAATTCGGCTATCATCGTTACCGCACAATTGTTAATTAACGATAAAATTATATGCAGATCGTTCTCAGATATGCAAAGAAAAGAAAATGTTCAGATTCAATCGGGAAAAAGTCAAAAGACACTTAATTACTAACAATAATAATCGTATCTTTAGCATGGCCGATTGGGCTTTACAAATCCACCCACGTTGATCGCACAAAGACCAGATGATGATCTTTGAAAGGAGGTCGGTTGTTATGCGAAGATTATATTTGCTAATCGTCCAAGTTTCGAAAGAAGGACAATCAATTTGCTGCAACCGCAGCGCAGCGTCGTTGCGTGCAACCGTTAATTTTCTATCGAAATTTCATGCACGGTTACGCAGGTGGCTCATCGTTTTCGCGATAGTACGCAGTGAAAACGCATTGGTCTAATTGCGTTAACATTTCCGGATGGACAAGCCGCCGCTTTCGTAATTTTTCTTTTGCAAGATGCGCAACGCGAGGCAAATCGTGATTGACGTATGAGTTAAACGTTTCTGCGATGGCTTATAATTTGCGACGTGACAGAAAGCGTGATCGCCGGAGTTGCGTGCCTCCTTTCTAGAATCGCGTGGGAAACGCTATCGTTGGTACACGATCGATGAATTAATTATGATTGAATAATGAATCAGCGAGGCACGATCGACGGGAGGATCTTGATCCTTCGCGGCATCTTTCGCCGCAGCGTTCTTTTACCACGCACCAACGCATCGGTGCGTAGGTCGCGTCGCCACGTCGACTGCCTTAAAAAAACAATTAAGTCTCGTCTCCAAGGACGTTTTTGGGCTATCGTGATAATTTTAGCGGTTAGTCTCCTCGGTATCGCGCCTCGGTATCGAGAGATCGAGGGATCTCGGCAATTCGCGTGGGATAATAAGCGGCGGGATCGGATCGCGAATTGAACGGCTGATGTAATCGCTTTTGCTTAAACATAGGCAGCAAACGTCGAAGGGCCGTTTAACAATTCATTCACGAAGGATTGCGAGAGGGACAGTTGCGATTTTGAAGCTGAACTACGATTTTACTTCGGATACGCTGCTATCGGCGTATCGATCTATTGCGTATACGCGATTAACTAGGGGAGTTCACGCAGCGAAAACTTTCCCACATTACGGACGAGACCCGCGTTGCGTCACGGAGTAATTGAAACGTACACTTTAAGAATAAACACATCACGAGTTGGCACCTTGTTCATGAAACTAATATTAATGTTAGCCTCTGTGTGACGTGATATAAACGTAACGCCGATGTTTCAGCGTAACTTAACTCTTCATTTTTATTGTGGAGGAGATTGTGTAGATTATACCGCGTGTAGTTCTTTTAAACAATCCTTTCCCGTGTAAAATTCATTCCTCGCGCTCATCACATTCGCGCTCAGTTATTACGTAATTATTACATAAAATGTAATTACGAAAATGTTAAGTAGACTCATTTTCCGTTTGTTTCCCAAGGCACTAAAATGTTATCGCCGCTATTGCTGCTGGGCATGGTCGTGTGCATAACGGGCGGCTACGTGCCGCCCGGGCCGAGGTTCAGGTGTCCCAAAGACACGATTTACATCTACCCCTGCACTTGTCTTCGGGGTA